CTCTTATGTATGTTGTTGTTGGTGGGCTGTGACATCCTTGTAGACTGAGTTTGGGTGTTTTTACCCTCAATTTGCATAATAAGAGAAGAAGAGGGCGGACTCCCTATAAGTCCCGTGGTTTTTATCCTTCACATCGAAGGGGTTTTCCACGTATAAAAATCGTGTGTCGTTTGCATCTTTATTCTTCATATTTGGATGTGGTTTATTTGATGTGTTGCTGATTTTGTGTGCTTGGTTAATCAATTGTGGTAAATTGGGTTAAGTGTTTGGTTGGTTGTCTTGAAGTTGATCCTTGTAGGTGTCGTATCCTACTTGTTGCTTCTCCCCCAACAATAACATTGTCTTGTTAGATCACAATGTCTCTGCCCCTAAATGTTGGCAATTTCTCTTTGATTGTGGGTATGACTTGTTTGATTAAATTGGCTTTGCTAACCTCTTTATTGACACTGCCTATAGGTTTAACCTCCAACACCCCTGCTTCTCAGTTTTTATTCCTTTTGGCTGGGAATGTTTTTGTTAATGGGTATATTCCCAGTTTCTCATCCCATGAAAACTCAACCTGGTCAAAAAATACAAGTCTAAACACAACACACAAAAGCATAACTTTGGTTATGAATCTCTGACTTACATGTCCTATGAGGATCTTTCTCGTTCAGACCCATTTAGTACCTTCAAGATGACTGTCATGTTGAACCACTTCTCATCTATGTGAATGACATTCTCAAAAGATTTAAATGTGGTCCGTTCGGGGTTGTGTGGAATAAATTGGCAGTGTACCTCTGAACCAAATAAAATCACATGCTTCAATTCAGTACTGATGGGGCAATTAACATCATAATAATTTTAAATATCAATTTTTTTGAGATAAACTTTTACACAAATCTAAGGGAAAATATAGCAATTTGAACCTAAGCAGAAAAGTAGTTTTCATAAGTCATCCCAAACAGGCACTAAGAATCGGTTCTTTATAGCAAAGAACATTGAAAGATAAGCAACGTATTTGTGCTTCAGGAATGCACTTACCATGGCAGAATCTACTCGCAGAATCGGTTTTGAAACACATCCCTGACTCTGCACTCCAACGGGTTCAACCCCTCCTTCAGCGCGCCAAAGACGACCCTAACCTCGTCCACTATTTTCCTCACCTCTCCCTCCTCCTCCTCACTCAGAGGAAAGCGACGAACATATTTCTCAATCTCATGAATCTCATTCTAATAGCCCGCAAGCATTTCTCCTGTCCTTCTTCTTTGCTGAGGCAGCAGGTTGAAGAGCATTGAAGAGAGAAACTAAAGCAAGCCCAATAATCTTATTACACCATGTCAGGAGTCCATAGTTAAGCGCGGATGCAATAACTACTTTGCAAATGAAACAGAGTGATTAGACTGCAATGCCTAGAAAAAGAGTATTTTCAGCGTTGCACGATTAATAATGACCTGGAAGAATATCATGACATCGTTTAAAGAATATAGATTCTGATAGAGAAAATGAATTATATTATTTAATTAGTTATTTATTAGTTAGTAGTATTATATAGGTACTCAATATTAGGATTCGTACCGGGATAGGGAAGAACTTCGAGCGTCTTCGGGCTCCAAGAAAGAGGAGGTAGAGAAAGATTGAAAACTTCGAGCGTTTCCGGGCTCCGAGAGAATAGAGAAAGAGATTAGGGTTTTGATATTTCTTTATTCCTTGAATAATCATAATATGAGAGTACAATATATAGAGATACGAGAAACCCTACGAGAAACCCTAATTAACCTAATGGGCTTGGGCCCCATACGAAAACCTAATATTGAGTACCTATATAATACTACTAACTAATAAATAACTAATTAAATAATATAATTCATCTTCTGTATCATGTTGGGACAATGCCCGCAGTAATCTGCGCCTCGTGTGAGGGGGGCGTGTTGACTTGTTCATCCCACATCGGCTATGCAACTTATATTGTGCTGCTATTTAATAGCTTGAGTACCTCAACCTCTTGAGTTAACTTGAGTTAATTTTTGGGGTTGAATTGGGTTCAAGTCTATTGTTTCAACAAGAGCTCCCTTGAAATTGAAAAGGAACAAACTGAATTTGATGTTTTGACATCTTAATATTTCATTCAAACTTATAGAACTACCTTCAAGAGAAACTTGAATTCAGGGCTGATTTTAGGATTTTAATGTTGAAAAGGCATAACAAAGGAGTTGGATAGTTCTGAAAAATTACTTCAAGATGTATGCCCCTCTTGCTTTGACATTGCCACAATCCTTGCATCCCCATATATCGACAACCTTTCTCTTCACTGCACACTGCACCCACATTGGATAAAGAATTTTGGTTTTATTGACTTTCTCTTCCATTTCTTAGCATTTTTCTTTCTTCCATAAATCCTCAAGCCAACCATATTGTTAATAATGTGAAATAGCATGAGACGTGCTAACACATTATGTACTCTGTTTTTTTTTAAATAGAAGATTTAGTAATATTTATTCAAATTATTGAGTATAACAGCATCCACAATTATCAAAAGAAATGCAACATAAATCTATGCAGGCGTAGAAAATCAAATACAAATGGGCAAAAAAGGGGGAAAGGAGCACCATTGAAGAACCGATCGATCAAAACCGAACATAACAAAAAAAGAAGAGGAATACCTTCTTTTCTCCAACGAAGATTCGGATCTCAATTGAGTTTTTTCGCCGGTGATGGAGGCATTGATGGGAAAGTGGGGGTAGAAGAAGCGCATCTTGTACCGGAAGCCAATTGTGACGCCGGTGCTTGGTTCTCAAAGATCAGCTGGAAATAACCTAAGGTCAAGTAGTCTTGCAAGTGGTTAACAAATAATAGAAGAGGAGTAATATATATTACTTCCATAACTAAGCAAGTTCTCCGAAAATGCATGCAAATGGATATCACACTCTATTAACCTCGTGCCTCTTTATTGCTTCCGGTGCCACCATATCAACTCTTTAAAATGTTTTAACTATTTCTTAACTGCTATTTACAGCCATACTAAAGGTCACATAGGTTACTATGTTACTGATAAAGAGGCAGATGAACCTGCTGTTTTTACTGGAGATACTCTGGTAAGTGTGAGGTTGGTCACCATTAAAATTAGACATAACATTTGATGATATCTTGTACGAAAAAATTACTAAGAACAGATGTAAGATTTCATAATTTTAATTTATTTGTATTTGCTAAATGCTAATTCATGCATTATTGATCCTGTAGAGAGTTTCCACTTGCCAGCTGGATAAACTGTCCAGCATATTTCTAGGGATTAGTTAATCCTTTCTGTTAATTGGTTAGTTAGTTATCAAGTGGTTAGTTAGTTGGCTTTCTTCCTTCTACAGAGATGTATATATACTGCGCATCCCCTGTTGTAAACTTGAGACGATTATCAATCAATAAAGAATTCTTCTTTCTTCTTCTTGTTCGTCTGCAATCTTAGCTTCAGGTTAAGAGCAACTACAATGCATATTGTATATGCTTAAATATACACTATTTGCCATTTACTATTCATATTATCCCTCTTCAATGGATTGTGTATATCTAATTGTAAAATGCACTATAGTGCAAAATACCACTCCCACCTCCTATTTCTACAAGGTCACTGTTGCTCTTCCTTTTCCTCTCTTTTTTTTATTTCTCCTCTTCTTCTCAATTTGCTTCAAATTCATCCTTTTGTTAATTCATTTCTTCATTTATTGTGAGTTAATTCTATTTCTTTTACATATTGTACTCCCTTCGTCCTTGAGTATTATATTTGTCCACTTTTGATTTTTTTGGTCAAAATTGGTAAACTTTGTCCTCAAATTAAATAAAAACCTCAAATTAAATAAAAATGATATTAGATATAGATAAAAAAGAGTTTTATTAGATTTATTATATCAAAAATTTTCAAAATATTATTTTATTTAATTAAAATTCAATATATATTTTATTTAATTATATGTCAAAGGTTGAAAACAGTTGATCAAAAAAGTCAAAATTGGACAATACTTAGGGATGGAGATAGTAATTTTATTCGTAAGTGACATTCTCCATTATAATAATAATTAATTTATGACTTGAGTGTGTATAACACTGTTGATAGTGTAAAATTGATTTTACACTACCACTTTATACTCTATGCATGGGAGATGCTCTAAGATCCAAATGGCGATATTTTAGCAACGTGGATTCGGGCTGGACCTGAAGGGCCTGCGGGCCGGATAATCAGGCCAGGCCTATTTTTGAAATGGAATCTTTTCGATTCGGATTTGGTGAAAGAAGGGCCACTCTTATATGCAAAAGCAACGTGGATTTTAATTTCAGAAAGAAATTGAATACAATCATAGGTAAAAAATAAGTGTCGAACCCGCAACCTTCTGCTGCGCAAAGAGACGTCCATTGAACCACAAGCTCTTTCGAATTTAACATCGTTTCAAGATTTTAACAGGGAATGCATGAAAATACTCCCTCCGTCCTAAAACTTTCTTCTCAGTTTGACTTTTCTCCATTTTTAATTTTTGACTTTGACTTCAAATTTTACCATTCTTAAAAAAGATTTTTTTTGAATTTTTTTTGCAATCATTCAAAATATAGAGTTAGAAGATAATTGGTGTAAATACATGAGGGTATTAATGTCATTTGTCATTTTTTTTATCTAATGGGAAGGTAGTTTTAGGACGGAGAAAAATGGAAAGTGGGAAGAAAGTTTTAGGACTGAGGGAGTATATAATTAAAACTTATTTGAAATTACTTTTTTTAACTATCAAATTGTTCCTTTAACCAAGCGCAATCAGAACTCATTATTGATAATTACTCCGTATTACTCTTCCGTCTCTGAGTATTTATTTAGTTTTGACTTTTTTTAATTAAAATTATAAACATAGACCTTACATTAAATAAAAGTGGTATTAGATATTAATACAGAATAGTTTTATTAAATTTATTATAAAAGATATTTTCAAAATATTACTTTAGTTTATATATATGCGAAATATTTTTAAATATAACTTAATTTATACTCCCAATGTCCAAAAAATATCATCGTGCTTTGACTTTACATGAAAATTGAAGAAAATTTAAAATGTGTTGACTTTTCATATTTGTCTTTGAGTTATTGTAAAAAGTGAAATAAAGTATAGGTATGAATTATTGTAATTAATGGAAAAAGTGAGAGTAGTAAAAGAAAGTGAGATAAGTTATGGACAGAGTGAGTTAAAAGTACCTAAAAGAAACTAAATTTAATAACACATGTTTAGAAGAAGCTACTCGTAATCTATAAGAGCATGTGCATCGACATGGAAGAGGAATATCTTGCACTGCCACATCATCTTCTTCTTCTCATATCATGGGTTCATGGCATAACAAAGGTAAAATGTCTTGCTTGGTGAGGTATGAGTGTGACACTTCACCCTTCTGTTCTTCTTTTTAATTTTTTTTAAAATTTTTTATGAAAAAATGTATAAGATAGTCGAATAATTTTTTGATAAAATAAATAATAAAAACATTTTTTTATGTTTAGAAAATATTTTAATAAAAAGTGATAAAATAATAACTTGTTGAGCTTGTAACTTCACTCACTTGGCACACGCGTAGAGCATGTTCTCAGAACTTAAATTCTTAAATTCCACCATTTTCTAGTTTCTTACATTTCTTTCAGTTCTTTCCAGTTTTTTCTAATTTCTTGCAACTATTTTTTTCTTCAAACTATTTGTACTTTCCGAAAAAGCACTCTAAAAATGATACTCCGTATATTATTACTATTTTTATCATAACTATTATGTTCATTACTATAGTTTATAAATTATTTCATTTTTCATCTCACTATTTTTATTGTTTACACTCATTATTATTTTTTCTTCAACTATTTTTAATAAGAATAATACAATTTTTTGTATATTAATCTAAATGATAAAAATAGGAAAACATCAATATTTTAAACTATTTAAAAAATTATTGATAAAATATTTACACAAAATGTTTTTAGTATTGTAAAAACTATACTCTGTATTTAGTATCTTGAATTAAGCTTAACTGCATTGTAGAATATGAAATGTTATTTCATCTCTAAATCGTTTGATTGCATCTTTAGTTTATTCATCACACAATATCACCTTGGGCCTATCTTCCTTTGTTTGGTGTCTCGGTGAAATTGATATTCATTTTCGACGAAGACAAATGAAATTGTGTAAAGTGCGTGTTTCAATAACAATGTGAATTTGGTGCTACCATTTAATTTGAGGCATCGTATGGTGCAAAAGTAATTTTTTGTGTATGAAAATAACAATATTTTTTATTTTAAAGGCATTCATTAAGATAACATGATGACAACAACAACAACAATAATTCTTCCAGTTTCTTCTGATTTTTCAGTTTTCTAGTTTTTCCAATTTTTCTAACTTTCAATCTTTTTTCCATCCCTAACGAATAGTCTCTTAATGAACTATTTTTAATTGATTAAAATGTTTAGGTATGGCATTCCATTTTTGGGTTGCATTGTTCATGCTATAACTCCTATAAGACGAATGGACTTACGCGGGGTGCGTGGGGCTTACGCTTGTTTTAAAATTTTGAAGGGTGTATGCTTTTAGCAGCCGAAGTTCAAAAATCGTTTTTGGGCTCGGTTCTCTACAACTGGGGTTTCTTTTCTCCTCTTTTCGTTTCAAGAAAGTTTGAGACAGAAAATGGATTGCGATGCGGGAAAGGAACCTGGTGAAGGCGGTGAAAAGAGAAGTGGATCCCCTGTTGTTGCCGACCCTGCCTCCAAGAAGCCCCGGAGTGGTTTCTCTCTATTTTTACTTCTTTTCACAAACCATATGAATATCTACATAGAAAAGTCTGGGTTTTGCACGATCATCAAATTTATTAAGAAAGACACAAAAAAGTCTGAACTTTTTTTAACATCAAGAACCCCCCTTCATCTTCTTGATCGAACAAGATCAGACTTTTCTCTTCAATTTCGGTGGTATTTGAGCTTCAAATAGTCATAGAAAAATCTGGTTTTCACTAGATCTTGAAATTCCTGCGCGCAAGTTTTGTTTCTCCGTTTACTTTCTTTTTTGTTACTATTATTTCTTTGCCATTCACGTCGAGGGTGTTGGTTATGTATGGAGTTCCACTGTTCATTCTTATGTTTTTACAGAGCCTGTTGAAGAGTCCATTGTAGAAACTGAAGAGCCCATTGCTGAGATTGATAAAAATTCATTTGTAGAGATTGGTGAAGAGCCTAAGATCCATTTTCGAGATCTTGCTGGAAAGGAAGATGAGCATATCATTCAAACAATAAATGGAATTGCAGAGATTTATAAACTTGTAGAGACTGATGAAGACCCTAAGATCCAATTTCGGGTGTTTGATGAAAAGGAGGGTGAACATATTATTGAAAGAATGGCAGAGAATGATAAGGAGTCAGTCGTAGAGCTTGTTGAAAAGCCGATTGCAGAAGTTGATGAAGCATCCATTATAGTAGCGACCAATGAAGAGCCTAAAGTCCATTTTCGAATGCTTGCAAAAAAGGGGATGTGTGGTGCTCTTCAAAGAATGCATGAAAGGCTTATCATGGAACGAGGCCTAAGGTGGATTCTTTATAGATTCATGGTAGGCGAGGATGATGAAGAGAAGTTCAAGTCATTAGTGGAGTCCTTGAAGGATGATTATAATGAGGAGAAGAACTCATTGATAGAGTATTTTGAGGGTCCCCCAAAATTTGTAAGTATAAGTTGATTTTGTTCAATTAAAAGTCAACCTAGATGCATTGAGTTCAATACTCCGTAGTTCTCACGTGCCTTCCCTTTTGGTCATATATTTTTCCCTTACAAAAAAGATTTCATTTTCCTCTCCGAGATATGTTTGTGATTTCACATTCGCACATGCATTTTCTCTTTGTAAACGCGTTATTTAAATGTGGGTTCGATGAGCAAAATCCTTTACTATTTGACAATGTTGATGGGATTCTTGCATTGCTGTCATAATCGAGTCTTGGTTTTTCAATGAAATAAAGAGAAGATTTAATGTTTGTTTTCAGTTATGCAACATTTGGTTGGCTTGGAGTGGTGTGGATAACCCGAATTGGTTAAAGCTACTCTTGAAATCTCAACGGATTATTTAATAGTGTATTCACATATATTGCTCAGCTAATTTATGGCTCCTCTATTGGGAGAGTTTCCTTACTTTAGTAGGTTATGGACATAGATAATGTATGGTTGTATACGTGCCAATGAGTGAGAATGAGGCAAGCATTAACTCGCTGATCATTTCACTTCTTCGGTGCGTTATTATCAATGAGTGAGAATGTATTCCCCTGAAATCCGTGTTAGATTATATTAGGCTCTTTGTTCTTGTTTCCACTATCATATTATATTGTTTTTGCTGAAGTTGTTAGCTTCTTCTTTTGATAGGTTATGGTGGCTGTAGAGGCAAACACTTTAGACGCAAAGCGTGTTGCTGGTATTAGTGAAATCGTTGAGCGATTTTATGGAGTTTCGGACGATTCTCAAACTTCAAATCAAGCCACGGCCACAGCGTGCCTCCTTTTTTTCAAGTTAGAAGTATTATATCTTTTAAACCGCAAAAAGATCCAAAGGCTTGCCGCTGCCCAAAAATGTACTATCAATATTTACACTTCAGGTTCACTGTCTTTCTCCCAGGCCATCTCTTGTGTATTTGAAGATTAGCACATCATTGTTTGTACAAGCTACCGTTTTCCCAGATTTGAAATATTTAGGATATTATTATTCTCTTAAATTATTCTTATGTAATATTGTAGGTTATCCATCATGTGACAAGAGCCAAGAAGATATGATTGTTGATGTAGTGGGAAAGCGTCATGATGTATGTACGACACTTGTGGGGATGATTTTGTGTGTTTATGAAGACTTCCGATATGACAAGAGGGGCGTGCATTCCATGGAAATGAGGGTATGTAAGATCCCATTGCCTTTTCGAGAGAAAAAAAATCTGTTTTGGTGTTGCATTATTATCCATTCAAGCTAACTAACTAACTTTCGTATTCGATCAGATGCGCAATCTCCCATTTAGTGGATTACCACATGAAGTGTATATCTATGGACGAAAGCAGATGGTGATGGGTTCATATGAAGATGGAAAAGAGAAGATGTCTCTTGATTATCTTTTCCTCGGCAAGGTAAGCACCTCCTATGATCTCTTGTTAATTCGTATACATACATGTATATGTATTGAAGTTTGCTAGATAGATCTAACTGGTTCCAGTATTATATTACAAATATGTTCCAGCCATTCCTTCTGGTGTTTTTTCCTCTGCATTATGCCCAACTCCTGACCCTTGAAGAAGGCAAGTTCATAGACAGTATTCGTGGTCCATCGGTTGCTGACTATGAAGTCACCCTAACAGATTGTGGAAGCGGATTAGTGAAGTTCAGCATATTTGGGAAGTCCATGAGTGAAGTTATAGATGCTATGAAAACGTTTGTGGTAAAGTTTTAGTATTTGTTGTGCTTTTGAATTACAAAATTTCTCTCTTCTGCTTTCTTTTCTTGATACCTACCCATTAATTAGTCTCTCAGACCCAACACTTTGAAATGTTTTCGTTGAAGTAACTAATTAAACTAGTGGGATGAATGGGAGTATTTCCAATTTGTAGTTATTTTGTGAAGTCTTTTTTGCATTATAGGATTTATAGCAATATATACACCTTGCAGGAAAAGCTAAAAAGCATGGGGGACATCAAAGCATTGGAGTTGGCTGCAATTGTAGAAAAAGGTCAGTATAATGGCATGGGTGGTAGTTACTTTGTTGGTTGTTGGCTGTCAGATAATGAATATGACGATGACGATGACGAGTGTTGGTGCTGATTAATGTGAATCGGATGGATGCCTCCCACCGTAATTTTTGCTTAGTAGTACTTTCTAATATTACGTTGCTTTACTCTAAGATGGCGAGCATGCACATTATATGTGCCTCCTACAACAATTTTTGCTTAGTAGTACTTTTTATTATGGTGTTGCTTTACTCTAAGATGGCGAGCATGCACATTATGTGTGATGCCTCCCACCATAATTTTTGGTTAGCAGTATATACTTTCTAGTATGATGTTGATTTATCTAATATGGCAAGCATGCATATTATATGTGATGCCTCCCACCATAAAGTAATACTTTCTAATATGATGTTGATTTACTCTAAGATGGCGAGCATGGATATTATGTGTGATGCGACTGATGCCTCCCCACCATAATTTTTTGTTAGTAATACTTTTGAATATGATGTTGGTTTACTCTAAGCTGACGAGCATACACATTATGTGTCACCATAATTTTTGCTTTAGTAATACTTTCTAATTTGATGTGTCTTACTCTAAGATGGCAAGTAAGATGGCGAGTATGCACATTAATGACATTATGTGTGATGCCGCCCACCAAAATTTTTGGCTAGAAATACTTTCTAATATGATGTTGTTTTACTCCAAGTTGACAAGCATGCACATTGTGTGTGATGCCTCCCACCATAAATTTTGCTTTAAAAATATTTTTTAACTTGATGTTGTTTTACTCTAAGCTGATGAGCATGCACATTATGTGTGATGCCTCCCACCATAATTTTTGCTTTAAAAATACTTTTTAACTTACGTTGTTTTACTCTAAACTGACGAGCATGAACACTAATGCCTTAACATAATTTTTTGCTAAAAAACCCCATGATGATGATTTGCGCAACACATAAACCTATGGATGGCTGGGTTAAGAGATTATCCCCTAACTTCTTTGTCCATTTCTGCCCATTAAATGTTAATCAACTTCGGCAAAGACTTGGAGCTCCAATGGCACCAATTTGAGTCTTCCAATATGAGGTAATGTGTTCAATATTTGGTGGAAATGATAGCTCTCAATATGTTGAGAAAGTTCTCATCAATATGTTCGGAAAATATGTATGAGCAGAAATTATACTTATAATAGAGCTATTAGTGCTAAAAAATGTTAATCTCATCATTAGTGGCAAATAGTGATTTTGTTTTGATATCATTAATAATGATTCGCTTGCTTTGTAGCCAAGAGAAATTAGACTAAAGTTGGTTTGCAAAATGTGCAATTTTTTGGGTTGGTTAAAGAAAATCATTCAACTCAACAAGTTCATGAAGAGTATTTGACACTGTTAGGAAGTGAACTAAATTTTGGAAATAAATACTTGTTTCTATATTTGCATTTTTTGGAAGAAATATAGTAAATGAAGTTTAATCATTAAATTAATATCATCATGATTATTATTATTATTATTATTATTTGGTAATTGTACTAATTAAGAGTAATGATCATAATATATATACGTCGAATATGATTTAGAGGCATGGACTCAAATTTTGCTTGTGTGCACACGCCTTCTCTCCATCTTATATTGTTTTCCATTAGCATTAATGTTTTGAAGAATCTGCGTATAGCGATGTGTAGATGCGAAAATCAATCGATTATTGGCGAAGGACATGCGCGGCGATGGAGATGGCGACGCGAAGAAGACGGAACGGAAATTGATTTGGGAAAGGCTTGGACGATTTCCAGTAAGAAGCCAAAAGCGGACGCGTGGAACATTACGTGTCTCAAAAATAGACTACTTAAAATGCCACGTGTCAAAATTTTAAGCCATTAACTCTCAAATATTATATTAAATGATGATAAGCTTATATTTGAGCTCACTTTATTTGCATTGAATATGTCATTTTGTCAAGATTTGGGAGTGGTGATTTTTTTAAATATTACATATTAATTTGATCATTTTCGGTTATAAAAAACTGACCGAACCTTATTTTGGTTTCGGTTATTTTGGTTTTTCCTTAGGTCAGTTCGGTTCAGCCGGTTATTGCATATCAATTTTACTCTAGTTGGTTTGGTTTTGGCCCGAAACTGATGTTGATGCAGGAGAGGATCCAGACTGACGTGAACTCGTTGTTAATGCCTTCATTTTTCAATTTTTGTGTCTTTGGGCCTTCAGCCTATCTTTTAGTTAGTCCTTTTATTTTTATTTTTAAGTCCGTTTTGTCTTCCATCTTTTATGGTTTCACTCACTTCGTTTTTCAGCCATTTATAGCTCGGCTTGTGGGCGTATTTCAATCAGACTATCATTATTTGAGAATATTTAATATACCTAGAGCGTAGACCTGACAAAAAATGACCCGACCTATTTTTGACCCGAGACCCGACCCGAAAATACTGGGTTTTGAACAAAGATTTTGCTGACCGAACCCGAAGTTGACCGAACCCGAAATGACCCGCTAAAAATAGGTCAAACCCGACCGAACCCAAACCCGACCTGACTGACCCGCTAATCTAAGATTATTTCAGAACCGTACATTTTAATATGAAAAACAGTATTATAAAAATAAGATTATAATTATATTTCTTTGCTTACTACTCATTTTTTTGTATATAGATTTATACCATCATAACAAATTTTAATGATGTCGCATAGTTATCGTACATTTTTTCAAAATTTCTACATTTATAATTTTTTTATTCGTAATATTGACACTAAGTCATAAAAATTACTTAAAATTTCAAAAAAATAAATGAAACTTATAACCCGTTAGGTCAACCCGAACCCGATGACACTAGGTCATGAACATGTAGTTATCAACCCAAACCCGAACCCGACCTAACCGACCGATTTGCCAAGTCTACTAGAGCGGAACTCTTCCCCTAACATTTCAATCATTCCCTTTCTTTTGTTGTTCTTCTCGTTCTAGCCCTACGCCTGGATTTAATTCGGCGTCAGATGCTCAACCCTAAGTCCTATCACAAGAAATTTCATCCACTTTCAAATTTCTAATGGAGGTGGACGCATTAGCTCTTCGTGTGACATTACATTGAAAAAGTATGAGCAAATACTACATACGGAGTATATAGAAGACATGTCCAATAATTTTATCTTACAAGGCCATGTGTTATAGTGAATTTGATGGGTGTAAATATGTATATGACGTGGAGTGATAAAAATGTGTTATGATTCTTAGAAAGTCGAGCATGACCAAAAAGTAATAGAGTGAAGAACCGAAGATAATGAACATTTTGATTGGTTAAAGTTAAAAAATAAATTGGCCCTCAAGCAGGAAGGGGCCACAGCCCAAACAAGGAATTCGGCATGATGGAGGTAATGATGCCCTCCTCACGCCATGATAACACATGGTCTAAATATAAATAAAGCTTATCTAAAATCTAAGGGATGAAGCACTCCGCAGTCAGCTCAGCTCTATTATGACTTCTCCCTCCGGCCATAAGGGATGGCGGCCACACAGCACTCCTCTTTCTAGCGAGAAGCAACTGGCCGGCAAACCCTATAATATATGATAATGATAGCTAGCCAGCTAGGCGATATATTGCTCGGTCAATCAGCTCTGCTTGCTTATCATTGATCGCACAAATCATATATCTCATCAAAAAAGCAAGCAACTTCAAGTTAGCGAAAACTACCACATACAGTAATCGTCTTCATCTCTCTCGTCGTCCGTGAGACACATGCCAGAGAAATACGCAGAACCATGTCCCTCAAACCACCAGCCTCCCAAAACATCAGCCAATTCCAAGGCTCGAGGATCTCCCAGTTCTCTTACCTTCTTCTGCAATGTGTAATGTTATATAGTCTAAGCACCTCAAAAATTAGGTTAAAATCCACCATTGGTCCTTCAACTTTATGAGTTGTATATGATTGGTCTTTCAAGTTTCAAAAGTCCTTGAATAGTCCTTCAACTTTATGAGTTGTGCACGATTGGTCCATCAAGTTTCAAAAGTCCATAAGCAGTGCTTACAGTAAACATTAAAAGCTAAATGAAATACTAGTTACATATAATATGAGTAAATTCCACTAGGTACGACTACTCTGTATTATATGGAGCAAGTATTCCAGTTAGCTTTTAACGTTTACCGCAAAAAAGACCTCATCTGAAGGGGTGACATGTACTTGAAAGACTACTTATGGACCTTTGAAACTTGAAGGACCAATCGTGCATAACTCTTAAAAGTTGAAGGACTATTTATGGACTTTTGAAACTTCAAGGACCAATCGTGCACTACTGATAATGTTGATAGTGGAGTTTAGTCTCAAAAATTATAAACACCCCCTCTTTCCCATTTTGTTTGTCCGCTTTTCGAACACATGATTTGTTTATACATAGTTTTGTGAACTAACTACTTTAATATCAATCCAATTAGTTTAACAATTACACTCCAAATTCCATACTAAGTACTAACTTGGCCTCCACCCTCAAAGTGGACAAACAAAATGGGACAACGAATCAGGAAACCAAAAGTAGAAGACGATGAGAATTTTCATTTCAAAAGCACAAGTAAAAAAATAAATACTTTACCACAAATGTCTCCATAGCATCTTTAGCAGCACTCAAGGACTTCCCAGAAATGATTAGCTTCATGGTTCCACTTACACATTCTGCTAGTCTAACTTCTAATCTAGCATCCGGTGGGCCACGAATACTATTTATAAATTTACCTTCTTCACGAGTCAAGACATCAGCATAGTCCATTGGAAAACACACACTGACGAATGGCTGAAAATTTTGTCATGTATCATTGGCAAAATAAAAACTCTTGCAACCTCAATACATATGAATAAAAACGAAGAAACCATAAAAGAAACATTAACCATGCTATAGTAAAGATATTCTCGACACAACATCTCCTTTCCTCCTTCATATGAAGCCACCATCTTTGGCGTGTTTCTTCCATAGACATACACTTCATGAAGTAATCCACTAACTGGGAGATTGCGCATCTAAATATAACATTAAGTTGATTTGAGTGGATTGTGCAAAGTAATCAGATTTTTTCGAAGAGGCAAGAGAATATTGCATACCCTCATTTCCATGGAATGTACTCCCCTCTTGTCATATCGGAACTGTTCTTTAACACACAAAAACATCCCCACTAGTGTGCTGCATACATCATGACGCTCTCCCACTACATCAACAATCAAATCTTCCCGATACCGATCACATGATGGATAACCTACAAAATTGCAAAAGATAAATTTAAGAGAATAAACTAAACCCGTTTAAAATTTTCAATAGGTATGGCCATACAAGCATATATTAAAAGTGTTCTACGAGCACTTGAAATTTACAGTGGAAGAAAAGGCTATTCTGTGTTAGTCTTCAAATATGCAATAGATGGTAGAAAGACAGCAAACCTGAAGTATAAATATTGATAGTACAATTTTGGGCAACAGCAAGCCTTTGGATCTTTTTGCGATTTAGAAGATATAATACTTCTTCTTCGAAAAAAAGGAGTCGCGCTGTGACATTGGCTTGATATGAAGTTTGAGAAATGTCCGAAATGCCATAAAACCGGTCAACAATTTCACTTATACCAAAACCAGACTTAGCCTTAGCCTCCAGAGTGTTGGCCTCCACAGCCACCATAACCTATCAAAAGAAGAAGCTCACATCAGCAAAAACAGGATAATAGAAGAGAAAAGGGCACATTAGGCTTGTAACGAGGAAGCTAATATTATCTAACACAGAATTCAGGGACTATGAATAGCAGCTCGAAGGTAAGGTTGAAAGAGAATCACACAATAACCTCGCAGATAAACATGCAACCATAGTTGTTACAGCAACTAGGCGAGGCCGGCAGAGTACCTTGAGACCACCTAGGTCTCGATTAGGCAAGTGGGATATAGTATGAATACTGTAATTATGCAATACATTAATGCCAACAGTATGCAACAAAGAACTCCACACATGTATATTTACTTATAATTTAAATTTAATATAATTGGGTTCACTATAAGATATATGAGTAGTTTCAATATATCAAACTTTTATCACATTATTTATTTGTATATAAATTACTTGAGACATGTATTAATGATCAAGATGTGCAAAGCTGACCAAAAAATGAAATGATAGAAAGATTTTTTTTTTTTTTGCAAGTTTTATATGTAAAGTTGGAATACATACAGGAGCAAGCTTTAAAACTAAAAAAATGCTGTAAAAACTAAAATAAAAGTGGAGAAAGTCACGTAGACCAGAGAAAGGGGATTTCTGTCCAAACCCAAGGGTTGCGCTCGCACTTGTCCCAGGATTTCTGTCTAAATGTTACCATCGATTGCGAGCCGATCTCACGATCTAACTTGCCAATCCGGACGTTTCCCATGTATTATTGTTTTTTCTCGCGATTAAGATCGCAAACCCTAGTTCAATATGCAAGATTGTAGACTCATAAAACCCAAATCGCAATTTTGTCTACCTTGACGCCAAAGAGTAGCCTCGGAATCCTAGCCATCCGTTCTGACATCTGCTGAAAACCTCTCAAATGCCTAGGTGACAACTAGGCAACGCCATGACAACTATGCATGCAATAAGAAATCTTTTCACACAATGATGAAGAACTGAAATCCACCATGTGTACAACCAAAACTCATGCAAGGGAACAGCAATAGGAAATAGCAAAACTGCCAAGATTGGTTCACTCCACACAGGGCGCAAAATTGATGTGGCAGGCTTAAAAAGCCGCAACATATATATCATTCAATATCAGGTGGAACTAAAAAATGCACTCCCTAAACTATACATTAACCATTAATAGCATGTCCAGTTCTCAGTAAAGGAAAAATAAGCACATGACTATCAACATTATCATTATTCACTCGAGTATACATTCTGCTCTATGGACTGAAGAGTGACCTAGCAGTCACCCTGACCAGTGTAAACAATTTCAGGAGATAATGCTTACCTAAATCTCACTTATTGTGACAAAAACTAAACAGAGAATTGATAAAATGAGAAGGAATCATAAACCAGGCGAGCAACATGAATACACAACTAGATAAGTCATCAGAATGCAAGAGTAACTTTCAAAGAATTGGTTAATCAACAATTCCAGCCAAAAAAGTTGCATAACTGAAAAAGAAAACTAAAAGGGTCTCCTAATCTGATTAAAAACAAAGAGTTAAATATGACGGCAATGCAACAATCCCATCAACATTGTCTAAAAAATGTCTTTGCTCACAGAACTTACACTTATATAGCACATTTACAAAGAGAAAATGAATGTGTGAATTTGAAATCGCAAACTGATATCAAATAGGAGGATGGAAATGTTATTGTTGAAGAAAATGTATAACCAAGAGGGAAGGAAAATGCAGCAGCCCAGATGACCAAAAGGCTGGTCCACTCCACACACAAAGCAAAATTAATGATGTGAGCATTACAAGTCAAAACGTATATTTCATTCACTTTCACGTGAAACTCAACAATGCACTCCCTAAACTCAATAGGCACATAGTTATAAACCTTATCATTAGTCACGGAATCATACACTTCGTTTGGATAATGGGCTCAAGAAGATCACCTAGCAGTCACCACGATCCAATGCAGACAATCCCATGAGTTAGTGCTTACCTCAACCATACATCTATATCCATAAGTAATGAAACACAAAATAGAGAATTCATAAAATGACGCAAAGGAACCATAAATTAGGTGAGGAACGTGAGTACACTACTAAATAAATCATTGAGAAATCAAGAGTAGCTTTCAACAATTTGGTTGATTAATGCCACTTTAAGCCAAAAGTTGCATAACTGAAAACAAACTAAAAGGTTCTCCTGATCTCATTAAAAACAAATACTTCAATACAGCAATGCAAGAATCACATTAACATTGTCAAATAAACGATTTTGCTCACAGAACCCACGTTTATATTGCATATTTACAAAGCGAAAATGCATGTGTGAATTTGAAATGGCAAATTGATCTCAAATAGGAAGATGAAAAGTTTTTGGTAAGAGATAAATGTATGACCAAGATGGATGGCACATGAAAACTATTAAACTAACCAAATTCACAAGTTAGAAAGTTTAGGTTTGACATTTAATCGAATAAAATCAACGTATACTTACAAATTTTGGGGGACCCTCAAACAAATCTATCAGTGAGTTCTGACCCTCATTATAATCATTCTTTAAGGATTCCACTGATGGTATGAACTTCTCCATTTCATCTTTGCCTACCATCAATCTATAAACAATCCACTTCAGACCTAGCTCGAAGAGTAGCCTCTCATCTATTCTTCGAAGAAGATGCTTCTCCTCCTCTTCATTAGGCATTGGGCAATGGAACTCATCAATCTCCACCAACTCATCATCATCCTTTACAATGGACTCTTTATCAATCTCAGCAATTAGGTATCCAGTCTCTACAATGGACTCTTCAACAAGCTCTACACAAACATCAGAACAAGCAGTGGATCTCCATATATAATGGCGAAAAATACTGAAGAGGAGTAGATGGTGAAACAAAAATTTCTACAACTGACATGATGGCATACTTGCACATAGAAATTTTAGGATCCAGATAAAAAAGGACAATTTGAAGTTCGATATAGATATTCATATAGTTTGTGAATAGTAAAAATAGAGACAAACCACTCCTGGGCTTTTTGGATGCAGGGTCAGCAATAATAGGGGATCCACTTCTCTTTTCACAGACCCCAACTTCCTTTCCAACATCACAGTCCATATTTCCTTCGATTGTTTTTTTTTCTGAATTCTTTGGGAAACGAAAAAGAGGAGAGAGGTGAAAGTCAGAAGCAGAAAAGGGAAAATCCTTTTTAAAAAATGAAGTTTCAGCTGTGATCAAAAGCAAATGCCCCATCATTATTGAAAAAAGTTAATCAATTTCATTCTGTATCAATTCTTACCTATGTTGAAATGAAAGTCTGAAGAAAAAAACAAGTAAAGGTTGAGAATAAAATAGAATAAGTAGTATGATTTTTTTAAAAAAAAACACATCTTTTTCCTTTACATTTAAAAAGACTCCTCTAAAATGAAATCTTCAAGCACTCTTGCCTTTCTCGGATTTGGTAATCCTTCTGTTTACATTTATACTCATTTAGCAGGAACCAAATTAGAGCATTTTATCATATTACTTCTAAAATATACCATATATAATGATATAGTCATATTCCTGTGTATTAATTCACACGATGCTTCAAAAATCAAAGGTGGGAATAAACCAGTAAAATTAACAATTTTTCGTTTTATGGTCATCGATTTGTAATAAATAATTTCCTTTTCATATGGTAAAAACCAAAGATTACAAAACATCCAAATGAAAATCATTCGCCACTAAACAAAAGAAATTCATTCAAAAAAATTTGAGAAATCGGTGGAAAAAATTAAACATTAAATTAATCCAAAAGAGAATAAGAAATAAACAAAGTCACACCTGGGGGGGGGGTGAAATCTGAGCCGCACCACCAATCGAGACAGGGATGAAGAGGTCTGGCTGAAAGAGGAGAGAAAAAATTCCGAGATAGTGAAGAATTTAGAGACTGACTTCCTCGAAAAACCCAGTCCGGCTATTCGCAAAATAGTTACGGAGTACTTTTAATTTTGAAACTTTAACCATTTTCATTAGTTATTTGATAAAATAATATAGTTTTGTCATCACTTATTTTGTAAAATTTTTAATGTAGTTTTTTAAATATATACTCCCTCCGTCCTATAATGATCTTCCCGATTCATTTTACGAAGTTTGACCGACTTTATTTTCAATTCAATTTATTTGATTATAGGTGTAAAATTAAAAAATAAAATTTATATATTTAAAAACTATATCAAAAGTTCTACAAAACAAGTGGTGACAAGACTATATTATTTTATCAAATACCTAATGAAAATAGGTAAAGAAAGTGATTAAAGTTTGACCGGGTAAAAAGTGTGTGGGAAGAACATTATAGGACGGAGGGAGTAAATTATATTTTTTAATTTTACACTTACAATCAAATAAATTACATTGAAAATAAAATCGGTTAAACCTCGTAAACACAAACGGAAAAAACATTATGGGACGGATGGAGTATTTTTGTTGACTTCTTTTGAATTTTTTTTGAGAAATGTTTGATTCATAAACACAATCGTTACAAATTTTACAAACTTACTATTTGTGAACTTCAATAAAAAGAATTAAATAGTCTAAAACAATTTTAAAATGAGAATTTAAACCATAAATAGTAAGTTTGTGGAGTTTGTGAACGTAGCATTACTCATTACTTTTTTTTCTTTGAAATTACTTTTTTTACTTTGACAAGTCTCGCGCTTACATTTCCATTCGAATTTCACATATTATTTTTAATTCATCTAAGGAAGTCAGAATCTTCTTTTGTGACTCGTCCACTTTCTCATGTTTTACTCCGTATTTGTTTTTTTGTTTTAAGTTAATTTTGATTTTTCAAAGAAAAACATAATTTATATTGAATTTTTTAGAATTGATTTAATTGAAGAAATAATTAAAATAAGAACTCATATGATGATATAATTTATTTGACATAACAAAATTTAAAACAACAAAGTCACATTCATAACATATAAGATTTATTCAATAGAAGTCAACAAAAAATAAAAACATACTCTAAAAGAACAAATGATTTTTAAACCAACACATAGAAATGTGAAAATTTAGTTTTGATGCCTTGCAACTCTTTCCATCTCACCCAAGAATCGATTTGGTTGTCGACGACCAGACCGAGAAATTTCTTCAGCGGGCCTAACTGGAGGTATAATCCGTAAATTCATGTGTGTGTGTGAATTTAGATCTCTTGGCTATTTATTTTTCGAAAAAAAAAGATGAACAAGGAAGATTAAATTCGTAAAAGATTTATGCATTCTATATAAAACTTTATTCTTATCTTTTTCTCACTCTCAATGTAACAAAAATATAATTTATAAATACTTTTTTCTTTATTATATAACCAAAGAAATATGCATCTATAATTTTTAGGCCAATATTTCAAGATATAACACTTTCTTAATGTTACTCCATCCGCCCTCAATTAACACTCTGTGTTTGACTCGACATGATGCTTAAGAAGAGTGAAATTATATACTTGAAAATGCATCTAATTTAAAAAAATGATTTTTAATATGACACTTTTTTAAACTAGTCTCGCGGAGATGCACTGTGATATCTCCAAATACATATCTAATGCGAATGCATTTTGTCTATTGTTATATGCACTACAATTTATCTTTTAGATTATTTTCCATTTTTCTATTAATTTGTGAATTAGCGAATAATGACTCCTAAGTGACTTTCTATGTAATGAGAATGGCTAAGAACGCAATGTATTTAGAATAAGTGTATTACATGTTTGAGAAGTAGTTTGCCTATGCAAAATTCAAACTCAAATCTGTAGTAAATATCACACTACCATTTGAGCTAATAGGTAAGAATTTGTTTTTCAAAAAGACTCTCATCTTGCACTTGGACCTATTAAATTTACATTTCTAATATTTAGAATTTGCATCATTCAACGTGTTACTAACCTATACTCACATGTATCGCAGACCACTTTAAATGCATTGTCGTTTGCAGAAATTTCACTATCTAGAACATACGATGCATCACATTTGTGTCAAGAGAATTTCACCATTAGATGCATAAATTTTGATGATGAGAATGCATAGAAATTGAATACATTATTTTTTACTTTAATTATGAGAATGCATTGCAATCTCATGAAAATGCATCAGTTTGACTCTCATAATGCACAATAACAGAAAAATAGACAAAAAGTAAAAAAGAAACGAAAAAAGCCACACTATACACATCCAATAAACATTAACACTATGTTTGGTTCAAGAAATTTGAAAGGGAAAAGAAAAGAAAATGAAGTGGAAAACCATTTTTCTTGTTTGGTTAGAGGGGAAAAGAAAGGAAAAGTGGAAGTAAAGAAAATGAGGAGGCAAAATGTACCAAGTAGAGGAAAAACCAAATTTCTTCCATTTTGGTGAAGAAAATGAGAGAAAACCATTTTCTTTTCTTTTCCTTCCAAAATCGTGTCGATCATCTAGTTCGAGACTGTGGATTCTTCCTTCTCTTGCAAATGTCAAGCACAAGGCAATCAGAAATCATCCATTTCAAATGGAAAAAGAAGATAGGTAAATTAACTAAAAAATGAATACCAAGAAATCCGGAAGTGATTTGCGTGAATGGAAGTAGTTTCAGCGCTAATCTTGCGGAAGGAGACTCAAGAAAGAGTGGAAGTTCGTGAAAGTACAAATTTGTCCATATCGGTATATTTGAGTGGCGACGATAAAAAATACTCCCTCCGTCCCATTCTTTTTGGGACGGATTGACTTTTTGGGAAATTAAGGGAGGATATTTTGATATTGACTTTCCAAAAATACCCTTGATGTGATGGGTAAAAGTAGGATGTGATGGGTAGATTATTAAGAAAAAGGTATGATGTGATAGGTAGGATATGAAAAAGTAAGGGGTAAAAGTGGTTTTTTATTAGAAATGTAACAGACTTTACGGGACGCAGTTTTTTTTAAACGTAACAAACTTTTTGGGACGGAGGGAGTAAAATTTGTAAAGATCCAAGGGTGTATATTCATTCTTAATTCTTTCATTAGATGACATTCTCACTTGAACCGAATTTTATATATATATATATATATATATATATATATATATATATATATATATATATATATGTTCTGGTGAGAATGCAATCTTAGGAAAGAAATGAGAATGAATCTGGTGCTTTAGATTATGAGATCTAACGGTCAAGATTTCATCAAAATTAGATGCACCAAAATGGTTCGAAAATGCATCACGTCGAAATGTACCATAAACCTTCGAAAATGCACTATCTCAAAATCTGAGCGCAGGATGCAATCTGAGCCGCACGATGCACCAGATCCGACAACTAGATTTTATTCTCATTTCTCTCCACATGGTGTATTCTTACGGGAACCGGCCCCTATATAAAACGTGATTTTAATTCCACCGTTGGTTTACATTTAACTAACATACTCAATGCCTTTGGTTGCAAAGGTGGAGTAAGTATGTTAGCTTGATTAGTAAAAGTGAACATGATTTTAATTCTCATCCGTGGGAGGAGTATTTAAACAATGCTTTCTCCATCTTGGGCTTCCTAGAAGGCGAGTGAGGATCCGACCGGGTCTAACCCGGGGTCCGAGTGAATATGTGCGAGCTGAGCGTGGATGCATGTTCGAGTACAGTTGCCACCTTGAGGCCTTAGTTTCCTTTTAAGTCCTGCTTTGTAACACCCCATACTGGGTGACCCGAGTCACCAGACCATAGTGCTAGGCGCTAGCAAAACCAGGTTTGCCTTTTAAAACATTGTTTACTTAAATCCTTGTTTTGATAATTAAAAAGTCCACGATTGTTCGCATAAGCATAAAGAAAACGTCTATAGTAAATACTCCCTCCGTCCCATGAAACATGAGAGTTTTGCTTTTTAGGAGGGATTTAAGAGGAGTGTATTTTGGTATTGAATTTCCAAAAATGTCCTTTGATGTGATGGGTAAAAATATGATTTGATGGATAGATTATTAGTAAAAAGGTATGATGTGATAGTTAGGGTATGAAAAAGTAAAAGGTAAAAGTAACTTTTTAATAGAAATGAGAAGTGTTTTGTGGGACGGATAAAAAAAGAAAGGAGAAAGGTTTTATGGGACGGAGGGAGTATAACTTTGGGTTCAAGCCCAAATCAACGTAAATTAAGTTCAATAATTTATTCATTAAATATTACGGGGTAAATAATAATTCCTTCAGCACGGACTCCACGCCTTTGCCTTTCATCCTGAGTAGTTTTTCTCATTGCTAGTACCTGCGTGCAGTTAAGCACTACATGCTCAGCATAAATCTGAGTGGCAAATAACCAATATACATATGTAACATGCAAGTATATCCAAGAGCATTTCAGGCTACTCATCTTCAAATACTTAACATATGCTTTATTTCAATGAGAAAACATTCTCACTCTATAAGAGATACTTGGGGACATTTAGAAAAGTATTGATCTACTAAGTTAACATAAATTAGAGACTAAGCCGTGACTAGTCTAGTACCCCGCACTAGTTGATATGTAGTTTTACATCGGATACTTTCCGTGACCTCAGGTCCAGTTATCATCGTCGGGTTCTTGTGCGCACGTTGTAGTATGATTATTTGTAGGCTCATCCACTTGGACACATACGATATGGCCTTATAACGTGTTATTTGACCCACTTGGTAAAAGCGTGACAATACTCGATTAGGATACGTTGTTAAGATAACCATGAAGCTTTTACTTCGTCCAGTAAATGTTTGGTTAACCCTAATATGATCATTTAAATAACCTATTTTGATACTTTCAATCGTACCCATTTTCAAAATCTATTGATAGTCGATCAGTTTCCCCTTTGTGTCCAAAACAATCAAAAGTGACAAAAGTGTAACAATTCATACATTTAGTTTTTCTTACTTAACATTTCAAACATTTATCAAATGAGTAATTTACCTAAATAGGACTAAAACATAAT